TTTATACCTGTCATAGCTGCATTGTTCACAATAGCCAAGAGGTGAAAACAACCCATGTGTCCATTGACAGATGGGTAGATAAACAAAATGTGATACTTACATACAATGGAATATTATTCAGCATTAAAAAGGAAGGAAAACCTGCTACGCATGCTACTACGGAGATGAATCTTGAAGACATTACGCTAAATGAAATAAGCCAGTCACAAAAGGGCAACTACTATATGATTCCACTTATATGAGGTGTCTGAAGTAGTCAAATTTATAGACACAGGAAGAGTGGTAGTTGCCATGGGCGGAGGGGGGAGGAAATGGGGAGTTAATGGTACAGAGTTTTTGTTTTGAAAGATGAAAAAGTTCTGGAGGTTTGTTGCACAACAGTGTGAATACACTTGTTATTGGACTGTACACCAGGAACGTCTCTCATGTATGCAATGACTCTCCCAAGTCCACAGGCTCCTTGATGGTGGAAGGTGTTGCTTGTCTTTGCCTCCTCAGTGTCCAGGACACATTTTAGAAATTCACTAGACTTCTGATCGACCAATAGAATCAATGGCTGTGTTAGAATCTACATAAAAGCACCAATTAGAGATAGTGGTTGACATCAATCTTTAATTTTGTAGCACCTATTATAACATAAAAATAATCTTTATTTCTAAGAAAAATATAAAATCATACAGGAGATCAAATGAAGGCAGCTTAAAAAGTATAACATTAAGATATATAAACACAGAGTATTACAAAAATTCAGTAGTCCAAAAGCATTGCCTTCAATGGCTGAAGAAAAGTCATCCACGGGGCTCCTGAGGACACACATCCAAGGAAAACGGTCACTTGCTGTCACATACAACAGAAGAGCATGGCTCGGCTTAGCAAGTCATGGGGAGCTACCCTCTTATATTTCCAAAAGGGGTGGTAAACAGTACTTCAAGCTGCACCTCAATTTAAATATAAGGTTGATTCTGGGAGGCACGGGGGCCGAGGGTCTTCCTGTAGTGGGGAGACCACCAGGTGCAGCACCCGCTCGCCTGGCGCTCCAGGCACCCAGCCCAGGGCCGAGCATCACGGCCACGATGCTCTACACACCAGGGAAGAGAGACTTGCCCTCCTGCATGTGTAGCGGGGTACACAGGGTTCCGAGGGAGCCTGAGCTCCCACGGAGCAGACAGACGGTCTCGCCAATTCTTTGGACGCATGTCATTATGTAGTTTCCGTTACAAGTGTAGAAAACAATTTTAACATTATTAAGCCCAAAGTGTCATTAACTATGGAAGACAATCCCACAAACTGCCTCTGCACGCGTAGGGGAAAAGGGGAAGCGGGTGCCGGCCTGTAGTGGGGAGAGAAGGCCATAGGCATATGGAGGGAATCAGACGGGAGAAATGAGCGAAGGGCCTAAGTAAGCAGCAGGAAGAGCAGAAGCAGGGACGGAGGAGAGGAAAAGTGTGCAACAGGCAGGGCCGAGACTAACAACGCTGCAAGGAGGATAGCTGGGCTCAAGACTAAGTGAAGCATTTCTTCATCTGGAACAGGGGAAAGGAAGTGTGCTGGACCTTATTTATTACTGTTGCATTGGGAAGAACATGTTTTTATGTATGTATCACAGAGGAGGAGGGAAAGCTGGTGCTGCTGGTCCACGTGCACTTACCCGCGGGGGTCAGAGCCGAGCCAAACTGAAAGGGACAGACCAAGTGTCCACAATGGCCAACCATAGGTCTGCATGGAGGAAAGGCCCCACCGAGTTTTTAAAACAACTGCCAGAGTACAGAACTCTGTAGAGTTGACTGCCACACACTGATCTGAATGATGGGTGATGTGATGTGGGCACCTGCAGGGGACTGGAGCCCTCACTCGACGTACCCTGCCCAGTTATGAAACAGCTGTGCAGTGCCTATTTTTTTAGCATGGCTACTTGTAAGGGCTATCTCAGTGCTGTACTTTTTAAGCTTTTAAACATACAACCAATAACTTAAAAAGTTTGTTGCTAGGCTGGTCCTGGACGGCGGCCAAACCCGAAAGGCGCGCGGGCCTCGTGCTCCAGCAGAGGGCAGCACCGCAACGCAGCTGCTGGGAAGGAACCAGGCACAGCATCTTTCGTCTGGTACCACACATTTCCTATAGCACTGAATAATTGTTATTTAGTGTCACACAAATGGGGGGCTCGTTCATAGGGTTATCTTGAATATTGATGGCCAATCCTAGCACACAAATTAAGCCCTAACAATTTTATATCTTAAAATTTGGAATAACGTGCCTTATTTGAGACCCCTCCTCTTATGAGTCTTCCTGTGTCTCCGCGTCCTGGGGGTGGGGAGTCTAAGGCAGCTTAGCTTTCGCTCCCCTGCATGTGGTGATTTTCTACTGCAGCCGAATAAAATGCACGTTACATTGAGCCTCGTCATATAACACTGCGGTGGGAGTTCTGTTTAAAAGAATTTCACTTTAGAGATTTCATCCGACTCAGCATAAGCGCTTTAGTCCACAGTGTGGCCAGTTGAACATGGATCCCTACAGAGAGCACTGAGCAAAGCTCTTTTGTATCAATGAGCTTCAACTGTAACAGTTTCATCAGTCAAACTTTTCTTCCTTCTCACTCTTGCCCTTGTAAAGCCTCAGCCTATTTACCTTATTACAGTATTTGCTATAAATTAACTTTAAAAAAAATATTTGGGTATTTACACAACTGAGTTCTAGTGCTACTGCAGTTGATAATTGCTCTGCAATTTCTGTATGTAACACAGATAAAAGCCATCCTACATTTACTCAAAGTCTAGTCTGAATGAACTTTATTTTTTAAAATCTTTTGGTTAAATCTCTCCCTACTAGCATCATTGGCAATACCTGCAAATAACGGCAGAGTCAAACCGAAACAGCACAGCCCCCCACACGGGCATTTCCCCCAGGCAAGTATAACAGGAATCTGTGGCTTTCATAGCCAGGGCTATGAAATCATTAGCCCTTAGGACTTTGGAAATAATGATGCCAAATGGGGAGATGAGCGGGTGATGCTCTGTGGTTGCACAGTTTTCCTGTGTCTCCTGAATTTAAAGATAAAGGGGCACACTCGGCTCTGCCCATACGGACCCGCCTGAACTCATTTCTCACCAACTTGAAGATAAGTCTGCTGACAGGAGGAACAGCTACCTGTAAGATGCATATGATGATACGTTCCCTGAAAAGTCAGTTTGGAGATTGGAATTTTGAGTTTGGAATTCTGGAAACATGTCCCATAGAAGCAGTGCCAGCAGGGACCAGCGTTCCCCAGCCAGCCCACAGCCCGCAGAGCTTTCAGTTCACAGACTGTGGAGTACAGAAGGACAGCTCTGTAGAACCTCACTGCCATGTGTAACAGCGTTTCCAGGGAAGATTCCCACCACATTTTCCAGATTTAAAATCTGAGACAGCAGGAACTTAAAAAAAAATTATTTGCAGCTGTGGTCCTATTGGAGGGGTTAGCAGCCCACCTTCCCGAGCTGCTGGCCAACACCAAGAGTGGCTTTCAGGGAGCGGGGCCTCCACTGGGCTGGGAACTTGGTAGGAGCCCAGGGCCGCCGGTGGGGCAGCAGGGGCCGGGGCAGGGTGGTGGCGGGGGTGTTATTTCCTCCCTCTCCTCCCTCAGGGTGCCCTTTGTCAGTGGATGTGGAGGGAGCCTCTGGAAATGGGAGCCCTTGCCACCCCCCTTGTGGGAGCGATGGCTGGGTGGGGTGGAGGTACCACCTGCCCTCCTATTCTGGCTCTGTTTGGGGGAGGCTCGGGCCCCAGGTGGGAGGAGGAAGGAGCAGGGTGAGGAAGGGAGCAGGGAGGGGTTTTCCCTCCCATCCTCTCTCCTCTCCCCTCCTGCCTCTGCTGGTCACAGGCCCTGCAGGCTGCTGTGGAGTTGAGGTGACGTCTGCCTGGGTGGCCACGGGGGAGGGAATGTGAAAGGAAGGAGCAGAGGGAGTTCCCCAGCAGCCTGGGGACGGAAGGGACTTTCTGGTGGCGCCTGGCTAGGCAGCAGGTAGCAGAACATTTGTCAGGCTGGGACCCACTCCTTATATCCCAAGGGGGTGTCAGGACACAAGGAGTGATGACCATCTGGTACCAAGCGACACTAAATAATCACAACCCCTTTAGTTCCAAATCCCTAAAATGTCTATAATGAATGCCTAAAGCTCATCCGTTTTCCCACAGTAAATTTGGCCTTGAGAGCATGGCACATAAAATTGTTTCCTGGGCGATTGGAGCCCCTGTACAGTGCCCGGAACATGGCTGAGAGTAAATACTTAACAACCACTTCATTGGACACCAATGTGCAAAAATATCTATTTTTTAAAACTCTACATTTTACTACTGGCTATCAGTTGTCTTGCAATAAACCTGACATTTATCTGATAAATCTGGCAAGGAAAGATGAGTGGGGGTGCCTGACCCTGAATCAGAGGTAAAAAGTCTCCAGAGTTTCTAGTCCAGAGTCTGCATCTGATGGTGAGGCTGACTTTCCATTATCGCAACCTAACAAAAACCCCTGTAACCATTCGCGGGAAGAATGCTGCTGACTTAGAAAATAACTTTTTTTTGGGCTAATACTAATCTTTCTTATACTCCAATCAAAGTTAACTCATCATTTTTGCTTATTTTAATCAGGGATTTACACAGAATCCCCCACTCCCTGTTATTGAACAAAGTGCCTTAATTTTCTAAAACCACAGCCAAACCTAAATAGCACTTTTATGAAATTGTCAAGCAAACCAAGGCTTCTCCCCGCCCAAATCCTAGAGTATCTGGTCTCTCCAATGACAAACCCTTCTATCTCCCACGATCTCCCTCCCCCGTGATCATCAAATAAGAGCATTAGAAGCTCTTTGGACACAAGTTTTCACTTGGTTTAGAATCTGGATTGTGACGGACACCTTCCCTCCCAGCAACACCACTGAGGGTCCCCCTTGCTGGCTAAGCCGCTGTGTAGTGCTGTTGGCTGTTTTAAGCTGGGAGAGTAAGCGCTGGAGAGACTGGGGCATGCCTACGGGCCAGGTGATTTGTATTTCTTTATTAACAGAGCTTCATCTCAGGGGTGAGACGGCCAACCTTACGTAAAAAATGTAAAAGTAAATTTTAAGCGAATTTTTTAAAGCCATGGGTGACCAAAGGGCATTCTGCGTCCTCTCGTCAACACGAGTCCGACATCCCACGTTCCTTTTACCCAAGAACTCCTGACTCTGCCCTCCCAACGACCATCCATTTTTGTACTGCTCTCAAAAGTACTCGAGCAAATGACATTTTGATAGTGCACAGATGATAAAGGCATTTGAATAAAAAGAGGGCACCTGTGTTCTGAAAGGTATCACCACATAATTCACCGGGAACTTTATAACAAAAAGTAACACACAGACCCACCAGGCTAACTTCTCGCTGTTTTCTTCTGAGCCGTGGGCCACTGGCCGTGAAGGAGCCTACGGACAAGGACTGCTTGGGGCCGTCACAGTCTGAGTTCCTACTTCAATTGTCGGCAGAATTTTGGGAGAGGATAATTTTATTTTCATCACGGCATGAATCCATTCTGATGGTAGGCTGTGGCCTACAAAATATTTCTCCCAATTCCAGATTCAAATATTAAATTAAAACATGTGCAAAATTAAACAAACGAAAATCCGCCACCAAAACATAACCTACCCCTCCCCAAAACCATCAGCTTGGGGAAAACCAGTGTCCACTGTTCCACGTCATTACCCTAAAATCTTGAAAAAGAACAGATTCACATTGCTCCCTGGCCTGGGCTGTTTCAATGTTCAAAGAGGCCGAGAGGAGCAGAGGTCTAGAAGTTCCTGGGGTGGTCTCCACGCCCCCGCTTGGGCCACTCCTCGTCCACCCACCTGCGCAGCACGCGCTCCACGTCGGCGCGGTGGTACAGCCTGCAGAGCTCCATCAGCTGGCCCACCGTCCTCTGGCTGTTCCGGAGCAGGAACTCCAGGGTGGGGCTCTGGGGCCTCTGCTCCAGGAAGTACAGCTCGTCGAAGGGCATGCCCCACTTGCTGGCAAAATTCCTCCAGTTTTTCACTGTCGGGTGACACGGGTCCAGCTTTATCCTGATCACGTCGAGCAAGTCCTGGTCATTGAGCAGGTCACTGATGGTGGGGGCCCGGAGCAAGCAGGAGGAGCAGGTGCAGTTGTCCTGGCAGGACTCGACCTTGCTTACATCTGGGGAACAAACAGGACAGTGTGTGTCAGCAAGAGGCCGGGACACCTCACCTCCTCAGTCCCTTACTTTCCATCTGAACTGTCGTAGTCGGTGACTACGACTCACTCCATGATGGGCTCTCTGTAGCCAAGGGCAGGCTGGACTTGATAAACAAGGCCCGTTTCCCTTTCTTTCTGAGACTGTTTTCAACGTGCAACTACAGGCCAGAATGAGCCCAGCGGGGTCGGACTGCCAGCCGGAGCAAACCAGCTCCCACTCGCCCCGACCTCAGCCCTCAGCCCTTCCAAGGCAGAGTCAGCCCTGACAGTCTCAGTGCCAAGCGCAGCACGTCCGGGTGTGAAAGGTTGCACAAGTCTTCAGAAGGTCTTTGAACACACACTGAAAACTGGAATATCCACTCCATACACATATTTGAAAATGAGTGGTAACTGATAATACCAGAAAGCTTGTTTTTTAAATGTAGGGTCACCTTACCATCCCTTTGCCTTTATCTGTGTTTTCTTCACTCCTGGGGCTGCCTCTGAAGTGGAGCCAACACCCCGAGGTGTGTGCAGGGGGTCAGAGCTGAGGCCCACGGAGCAGAGCCCCGCCCCAGCCCGGCGGCGGGCAGCTGCAGCCTGGGTTTGGCGCTCAGAGCACCTTATGTTAGGAGGAGGGAGCTGGCAAGTCCTTCATAAGAAGGCTGTGGGCGGCGTCTGCGCAGTGGGCCACCTGAGTGACTTGCCTTCTGTGCCAGCACGGGGCCTCCTGAGCCCTCTGACAGAGTTTAACAGCCACAGGCCACACCGGAGACCACTGGCCTGGAAAATCCTGGGAAGTCGCCGTGACCTCAACCACACTAAGCTGTGGACTTCCCAATTTAGAAAAAGGAAGTCACTTTGCTGATGGTTTAGGTTGAAAACCAGCAATTTGGGGGCAAGTACATATTAATAGGTAACAAGAGCTATGAAAATTAGGCCCCTGCCCTTTGACCTACGAATCTAACTTCTGAGCGTCCAGCCTGAGGAGATCATCGGAAATGTGTGCGTATGGGAACCTTTTTATTACAAACGACTGACACGGCATGACTGTCCTCCTGATGGAATGTCATCTACGGAAGTATGAAGACTAGACAGCAACCTACAGCAAGCGTGTGCACGACGGCACGTGAAAAAACGCCCGAGGCACAGCACACATGTACTATGGTTAGATATTGAAAACTTATTGCCATGGAAGGAAATGTACAAAAATAATAATAGCTATTGCATTGATATGGCGGGATTTTGTTTATATTTTCTAAACTTTCTCCAGTGGTGAAAACCATATATTTATGTGACAACCAAAATAATGTGTTACATTAACAAATACGCCATCTAGCTTCGCACAGAGACTGACCACTGGCCAGTGCAGCACCCCGCCTCCTTGCCCAGCTCCCCATACACACTGAGCCCCCCCTTCTGCCTTCTCCAGGATGTCTCACCAAACATCTTTCCTCCCCTCACCCCCGGCCCCTGTCTCTGTTGACTTGCGTTACTTTACCCACCAACGTGTATAAGGGCTCCTCTACTGTAAAAAATAAAGACCTCAAACCACCGTCCTCTGGTTTCATAACTTCCTGAAGCCACTTTCCCTTCCTGTTTTTATAATTCACTGTTGAACTTCTAGAAAGAGAATTCAAAGCCCGCTCCCTCCGATGCCTCACCGTGCTCATCTTGGCTTCGAGCAGCAGCTGACCCGGCCTCATTCCCGCCAAGCCCCGTGGAGACTGGCCTCAGTCCCCTGCACCCCAACTGCTGGCCGGAGTGCAGTTCTGACTGGGCAGGGAAACCCAGGACAGACAAACGGATTCCCGCCTGACCTTGAGGATCACGGGACCTGCTGCTGCCAGTTCCCCATCACGCCACCTGCCCTGGATACGGCTGCCTCGGGAACTGGGCCCGAGGCTCTGAGGTCCCTTCGGACACTGTCCCTTCCACGGCAGGCTGCTTCCTCCCTGAGGGTTCCTCCTGACAGCCAAGCCCGGTCCTCCAGGCACATCCTGCCATGTCCCGGCCAATTCCCTTCCCTTGTCAGCCAGACCTGGGGAGACCCCAGCCAGTCTCACCCGGGAGTAGTAGGAGCTACTCCAGCCCTGTCCTTAGCCCTGAGACTTCCCGCCCGGGGTCTCTCCTTGGTCATCTCCCCGGCTCCCAGCAACCTCGACAGGCTCTCACAAGGATGTAAGGCCCTTCTTTTTGCACGCGCAGGACCCGGCCCAGCTGCATGGGAGAGTGAGTGCACGAGGGATGAGGGAATGACCAGCCCTGCCCGCTCCCGGGCTCCAGAACCGACCCCTGGAAAGCCCCTCAGGAAATTCAGATGATATCTCCCACTAAAGGGACCTAAAATCCTACTGAATTTCTTACCCTATGCACCAGAAGCACCTCAACTACTTACACCACAGTTTTCACTCTACCCAACCTGTTCCTGCAGCCGTGGGCTCCGCGGGAAGCTCCAGGCCACTCTTCCCGTCCTAGTCCCGTGACTTCCTTCAACATAACCTGTGCTCCAGACGAGCCGTTCAGTTCCCTGAACACACAACATTTTTCTTCTTGTTCTTTTAAAATTTATTAATTAACTTAAGAGAGAGGAGAAGGGAGAGAGGGAAATACCGGTTTGTTGCTCCACTCATTTCTGCAGTCATTGGTTGACCTTTACGTGCCTTGGGCAGAAAGAATGCACAGCCTTGGCGTATGCTCCAACCAACTGAGCTACAGCTGGGGCCACAGCACTTTTTTTTAAAGTGCAATTAAATAAAATTAAATACTAACATAAGCTCAGTATAGAAAAGTATAACTAATACAAGCTCAGTATAGGAAATTTAGAAATTATACGCAATGATAAATTTTGTATATAAACTATTTTACACTTGGGTTTCCCGACTTCATGACTATGAATAACAGTGTGATGCAGACCCCTGCATGGGATTCTTGGGCCACAGGTATGAAGGTTGAAGGCTGTGAACGCCGCCCCCCCAACCACTTTCCAGACACAGCGGCTGAACCAATCACACTCAGACCAGAGTGAGGGACGGTGCTCCTCTCCCTGCCCCTGTCTCAGCATCAAGCTCTCGTTTTAGAAAATCTGTCCGTTTCATAGGTGGGAAAGTATACCTTATATTTTTCTACCCTATGCTTCTCCTGGGGTTTCCTCTGGTCCGTCTTCTCTCTTCTTTCGCTCTCCTTCTCCCTGTTGAACTTTCCTTCCACTAGCAACCTTTGTCCACCCTATAAAACCCACCTGAGATCTCCCCTCTTCCATGAAGCCCTCCTACTCCTGCCCGAGGCCTCCCTGGACCCCACTGTTATGTCTGCGTGTCCTGACTCTGCATGAAGCGTTCTGTGTGGTTTCCTGTCCCTAATTTTACCTTCAACACCTGCAATGTATGCCACACCTGTTTAACCTGCAGTTACATTTCTATGTAATGTACGAAGAGTGGTTCTTCAGCTACATTAATGGTGTATGGAAAAGGAAGGCTTCAGCTGCAGGATGGGGCAGAGTTAATTTAGCCTTTAAAAAATCTGCTAATGGTGAAGGCAACTGAATTTACTTTGCTCTTATTTAAATATAGGGTCAAATTAACAATATCTGCCAACTGGGAAAGAAAGCAGATTGCCAAAGAGTACATACAATTCAGTTTTTGTAAAAACAAATAATACAGTCATTCATATTCACGTAAAGCACATTATCCACACTTCACAGGCCCAGAGAAAAACCTGGCGTGTATTACAAAGTGGATAGTTCTTAATTTTCTATAATTGTTGTGTTTATTGGGATAGTTTAAAAGTATTTTTTAAATGTCACAGAAAAGCCAAGCAGGATATAAGCTCTAAGACCAGGATTCAAGGTATTGGTTGGTGTCCGGTCTCTCTTACTTCTGAGATTCGGAGCTGGCACTGTCCCCTCCTTCGGTCTCAGCAATAAAAACAGCGGGAAGGTTTCTCCGAAGCTCCTCTCAACCTTCTAGTTGGTGAAGAGGTTGGATTTCTTTGAACAATGGCATTGACAAAATTATCAGTGAATGATGTGCCCAAAGTCCACTGATGTTTTCCTTCCTTTTGTATTTTCAACAACACAAATGACACCATTCACTGAACTGGAATCTACCCAAACTGCCAACATTGGTGAACTGAAAGCTGCCTTTTGAATCATAAACAGTAATTAGCTTTCTGGGGGACTCGAGCAGGAAAACATGTTTTTTTCCTGCCAAATACATTTGTCCCGGCCTCTGTAAACACCAGTCGTGTCACAGCACCCAAGGAAGGACAGTGGGTGAGGACTTGGGGAAGAAACAATCCTGGGAGAGAGACTTGGGACCAAAGAGGATTTCATCAGAGATGGGGGAAATGGGGTTGTCTGATGCCTCTCAAGTGATAAGCACAGGGTTGCCACGCAGTAGAAATTTAAAACTGCCATATGAATGAATGAGAACTGCGCTGTCTCCACAGGGGACAGGGGAGATTTGTTATTATTGTTTGGTGAGTTTTAGAACCTGAATAGAGATTAGGAAAGGAAATAGATTGTTGTTGGTGTCTGCTGGCAGCAAACTGATATTCGTGGGAAATAGTGCAGAATTGGTCTTAAGATACAAAAAGATGGAATGATTCTAGATCTGGGAAGGAAAGGAGGGGGTTATTGAAAAGAAAAGAAAAAGAAGTTAATTATATACAAAAATTTACTTAGATTCTCTAATAATTAGTGTCCTCGCTTGACATACTTTGATGCTTGACCTGTGCATGATCCACTACGCAAAGCAAGAACAACACACACCAGGTTTATGATGCCTTATTAGAGCCAAACCCTGGAGGGTTTGCTCACTGCAGGTTCAGTCTGAGCACTGGCGTAAATGAAGAACTGACTGGAGGAAGAGCCAGATTTCATCATCACAGTGTCACTTATTAAGTGCCAGTGGATAACCAGTCCTGTGCTACGTCCTTCACATGCAGGATCCTGAATTGCACCATCAAGTCCAGGTGCCCCA